ACACATAATTTCCCCCTCCCAAACGGCCCATTGCAAGTACTGTTTCCGTGTCCAGTCCCGCGTCCGCGCGCGCATTTCGCGGAAGACGGGTCGGAAACAAACACAAAAGAAAACGAAACCAGAAAAATCAGAGAAAAACAAAAAAAAAAAAAAAAAAAAACTCCCAAACGGCCCATTGCAAGTACTGTTTCCGTGTCCAGTCGCACGTCCGCGCGCGCATTTCGCGGAAGACGGGTCGGAAACAGGAAAAAAACAATGAGTTCCCCCTCCCAGACGGCCCATTGCAAAAACCGTTTCCGTGTCCAGTCGCGCGTCCGCGCGCGCATTTCGCGGAAGAAGGGTCGGAAACAGGAAAAAAAATCGGAAACCGAAAAATCAGGAGAGATAAAAAAAATGATAATTTCCCTTCCCAGACGGCCCATTGCAAGCACCGTTTCCGTGTCCAGTCGCGCGTCCGCGCGCGCATTTCGCGGAGGACGGGTCGGAAACAAGTGAAAAAATCGGAACCCCGAAAATCAGAAAAAGCCCGTGATTTCCCCCTCCCAGACGGTCCATTGCAAGTACCGTTCCCGTGACCGGTTGCGCGTCCGACCGCGCATTTCGCGGAGGACGGGTCGGAAACAAGAAAAAAAAGCGGAACCCGTAAAATCAGGAAAAAACAATAATTTCCCCCTCCCAAAACGGCCCATTGCAAACCCTGTTTCCGTGTCCAGTCGCGAGTCCACGCGCGCATTTCGCGGAGGACGGGTCGGAAACAGGAAAAAAAGTCAGAACCCGCCCCCCCCCCCAAAAAAAGTCCCCCTCCCAGACGGCCCGTTGCAAATACGTTTCCGTGTCCAGTCGCGCGTCCGCGCGCGCATTTCGCGGAGGACGGGTCGGAAACAGGAAAAAAAGTCGGAACCCCAAAAATCAGTAAAAAAAAATAAAACATAAATTCCCCCTCCAAGACGGCCCATTGCAAATACCGCTCCCATGGCCGGTTGCGCGTCCGACCGCGCGGAGGACGGGTCGGAAACAAGAAAAAAAGTCGGAACCCGAAAAATAAAAACAACAAACAAAAAAAAAACCTCCCAAACGGCCCATTGCAAGTACCGTTTCCGTGTCCAGTCGCGCGTCCGCGCGCGCATTTCGCGGAAGAAGGGTCGGAAACAGGAAAAAAAATCGGAAACCGAAAAATCAGGAGAAAAAAAATAATGATAATTTCCCTTCCCAGACGGCCCATTGCAAGTACCGTTTCCGTGTCCAGTCGCGCGTCCGCGCGCGCATTTCGAGGAGGACGGGTCGGAAACAGGAAAAAAAAGTCGGAACCCGACAAACCAAAACAATATTTAAAAAATCCCCCTCCCAGACGGCGCATTGAAAGTACCGCTCCCGTGGCTGGTTGCGCGTCCGACCGCGCATTTCGAGGAGGACGGGTCGGAAACAAAAAAAAATCGGAACCCGAAAAATCAGAAAAGCAACCATAGTTTCCCCCTCCCAGACGACCCATTGCAAGTACCGTTTCCATGTCCAGTCGCGCGTCCTTTTGGATGGATCTGAGAATATGTTCAATGGATTTGGGAGGAAGTGGGTGGGTTTGGAAGGATTTGGGGGGATTCGGGTGGATTTGGATGGGCTTGGGTGAATTGGGAAGGATTTGGGTGGGTTTGGGAAGGTTTGGGTGGGTTTGGGAGGATTTGGGCGGGTTTGGAGGATCTGGGTGGATTTTGGAAGATTCGAGCGTGTACTGGAGGATTTGAAAGGATTTGAGAGGATTTGGGAGGATTTGGGCGGATTTGGGAGAAGGGGGCGGACTTGGGAGGATTTGAGAGGATTGGGTAGACTTTGGGCAGACTTGGGAGGATGTGGATGGGTTGGGGAGGATCGGGGAGGATTTGGGAAGATTTTGGGTGGGTTGGGGAGGATTCGGGTGGGTTCGGGAGGATTTGGGGGGATCCTGATGGATTTGGGAAGATTTGGGAGGATTTGGGTGGGTTTGGCAGGATTGGGAGGGTTTGGGAGGATTTGGGCGGGTTTGGAGGATTTTGCAAGAAGATTCCCCAACCGCGGCGATGCCCCAAAGGAGTCTCCAGCCGTGGCACGGCCTAAAAAGGATTCCCCAAACGGATTCCCCAGCCCTGGCGCGGCCCAAAGAGGATTCCCCAAACGGATTCCCCAGCCCTAGCGCGGCCCAAAAGGACCCGGGCGCGGCTGTAGAGGATTCCCCAGCCCTGGCGCGACCCTAGAGGATTCCCCAGCCCAGGCGATTCCCCAGCCCTGGCGCGGCCCTAGAGGATTCCCCAGCCCTGGCGCGGCCCTCGAGGATTCCCCTGCCCTGGCGCGGCCCTAGAGGATTCCCCAGCCCGGGCGCGGCCCTAGAGGATTCCCCAGCCCTGGCGCGGCCCTAGAGGATTCCCCAGCCCTGGCCGCGGCCCTAGAGGATTCCCCAGCCATGGCGCGGCCCTAGAGGAGAGGATTCCCCAGCCCTGGCGCGGCCCTAGAGGATTCCCCAGCCCTGGCCGCGGCCCTAGAGGATTCCCCAGCCATGGCGCGGCCCTAGAGGATTCCCCAGCCCTGGCGCGGCCCTAGAGGATTCCCCAGCCCTGGCGCGGCACTAGAGGATTCCCCAGCCCTGGCGCGGCCCTAGAGGATTCCCCAGCCCTGGCGCGGCCCTAGAGGATTCCCCAGCCCTGGCGCGGCCCTAGAGGATTCCCCAGCCCTGGCGCGCCCCTAGAGGATTTCCCAGCCCTGGCGCGGCCCTATGGGATTGGACCAGATCCCGATCTAGACCATTGTGACGAGGAAGAGGTCTGCTGGACCAGATCACGATCTAGCCTAAACGAAATCGTGAATCAGGCGAAGTGGGTTCACCTCGAATGGACTAGATGACGATCTAGTCTAGAACAGATCGGGAATCAGCCTAACATCGCGTGGAACGGACCAGGAGCCCACCAAGACGGCCGGTCTGATCCCTTGTCTTCTAGTGCGGATCCTTTCCCACTGGCTCTCCCACCTGCTGCAGCTTCCCCTCCTCCTCCTCCTTCTCCTCCTCCTCGTCCTCCTACTCCACATTTTCCAAACCATCATCTAGCATAACCAACACACCATCAATACCACCATCACAAATATCCAGGTCGTCATCGTCATCATCATCAGTATCATCATCATCATCATCAGCAGCAGCAGCATCATCAGCATCAGCATCAGCATCAGCATCAGCATCATCATCATCATCATCATCATCATCATCAGCATCATCATCAACAGCATCAATTACAACATTCGCAACCTCATCCACATCCTCATCAGCATCCTCATCATCAGCAGCAACATCATCTTCATCGTCGGCCTCCTCGGCATCAGCAGCAGCATCAGAATCAGCATCATCAGCATCATCCTCATCCACGTCATCATCATCGTGGTCATCATCGGCATTATTAGCTTCATCATCATCATCAGCAGCAAACTCACCGTCTTCATCAGCATCATCAGCATCGTCATCATCACCATCGACGTCATCATTATCATCATCATCGTCATCATCAACATCATCAGCATCATCATCATCGCCATCTGCAGCATCAGCATCAGCATCGTCGCAATCATCGTCATCATCGGCATTAGCATGTTCATCCTCATCGTCATCAGCAGCAGCATCATCGCCATCATCAGCATCATCATCACCACCACCATCATCAGAATCACCATCGGCATTCATCAACATCATCGTCATCAGCATCATCACCAACATCAGCATCAGCATCCCTATCCGTATAGTCCTAGTCATCCTTCATCCTCACATGTTGTTGTCCTAAGCCTCATCCTAACACTCGTGCTGAAATGATCGTGTCTTCTTCGCCCTGCTCCGCCACCACAGCTCCAACTCGGCGCCCGATAAGCCATGCAAATAGATTGGAAATGGGCCGGTGCGAAGTTGAAGATTGGGCTCGCGCCTGCATGGCAGGCTGGTGCGGGCAGCGTGCGCTGCCGAGTCGCACCGCCCCAGAATAAGGGCATCGGGAGCACAGAAACGATATGGTGTCAAGGCTCCCCGTAAAACCTGAATGAATTCATACATATATACATGTGTACTTAAACCATCGCGCGCGCCTCGCGCCTGGATGGCAGGCTCGCGCGGGCAGCGTGCGCTGCTAAATCGCACGGCTCCAGAAGGAGGGGGAGAGTAAAGCAGAACGTGTTATGTTGTCCGAGTGTCGACAAAATGAATACGGTAGCATCAAATGTCGACGCAAAATGACGCGTAATAACAAAAAGAATATACCACCCCTCACGCGCATCATGCCCCATTGACCTCTTGAAGGCCCAAAGTTAGACTCTCAAAACGGCTCAATGAGGCCTGGTTCTGGCACGATCCTCACGCACTGCATTGCCCATGGAACCCTGGAGGCAAGACGGCTGAATGGATCCGCGTTTCGGCACACGCCTCACGCACATCGCGTTCCATGGACCCGAAATGGGCTTCAGCAAGCCTCCAAATGACGTAAGGGCGTCACATGTCGGCACGCATCCCTCGCACACTTCGTGGCCCATTGATTCCCCAAGGCGGCAGGCCGAGTAGGACACCCGGACAGAACAGTCAAGGAGCGAATGGTTGGATGGCAGGTTGTCGCCACAAGGGAAGCACAAATCAATGTTTGGCTTGACGGCCAGCTCTCAGCAACCAACGCGGGTGTTCGTGCAGGCTGCCAGCCTCCATCTTTGACACGGCAAGTGTCACTACAGTGAGATACATAGAATTGCAGATGTGGTGCACGTCTGGACGGCGAACCTACATGGCAACGGCACCTTGAGTGACAACATGTGGACCCTTTTGAACATGCGTCGCAAAGAGCAAGCCTTGAGCTGCGCTCGATTTGGATCGCTCCGTCAAGCAGCGTCTGCAACAATTTTCTCGTGCTGGTGATTTTGTCCAAGTTTGCGGCGCTGTTGCACAGAAGGTAACTTGAGTGGAAGGGTTTTCACTTCCCCTGCGCAAAAAAAAATGGCCTGTTGGTCACGACCAACTTGTGCTGCATCGCCCGACGCCGACACCGTGTTCGGGAATGCAGGGTCGTTCGAAGCTGCTGCAGGCCCCTGGCACTCCGTACTGAGAAGTGGCCGGAACTGGCACGGAACTCGCCGCCGCAGCCTGCTGAGCACCTGCACGCGGCTCCCAGAAGCGGTTGTCCGGTGGCTCTCAGGGCTGGACCTAAGCGTTGTTTTCCGTGTTGCTTTCGTTATGTTTTTCGTTTCGCTCTACCTGTTTTCCTGCACCTCCCTGCCAACACGAAAAACAGAACGCAGCCGAAGCCCAGCAAGGCAGCGTTTAGGTCCAGCCCTGGGGGCTCTCGGAAGAGCTTCTGGGCCCCCCACAGGCGAGCTGGGCCCCCGGGGTCCCCACTTGTGTCGGGGTCGCAGCCCCAGGGCCCCCGGTCCGGTCGCCGAAGTGGACCGATGTTCGATCGGACCTGGATGTTCGACTCCAGATCGACCTTCACCCCAAACGCCAGAGAGACGGCCCCAGAGGCCACACAGTGCCTGAAGGCAGCCTCTGGGATGCAGAAGCGCCGGGCGACCGATCCTCCACGCTCGATCGGACTTCGGCGTGCCGAGGGCCTCTGTGAAGGGGCCGTGGGACATACAAATGAAGAAACACAAATACCAGGATTCCCCATATTTTCCTATATATTTGTTGTTTTTGTCTTCCCCCCATTTCCCATATTTTCTCATATTCCTGGGGAATCGACGATGAATTGTGTTTGTGTGTTTCTGTTCCTCCTGACTCTGGTGATCCTGGCGCACGCGGCCCTCGCGCGACTGTGCGCCGCGCGCAGCTCCTGCCACGCACTTTGCATCGCCGGCGACAGGAAGTTCGGGGGCGTCCAAGATCGGGGCGGCCATGTATCGAGGAATGGGCCCCTCGGTGGGGCTGAAACCAGGTGCATGCAGCAGATTTCGCAACCCCCCTTTCCCTATCCACCCCTTTCGTTCGGCCCGACAAGAGGGGGGGGAGGGGCGCAAATCATGGCAGGCGGCATGTGTGCGGCCAAGGGTGGGACCAGGACGTATGGAAAAGATACCGGGAAAAAAACAAAACAATCAGAGTCTTTTTAGGGCTGTAGGGCTATGGGGCGATTGGGCTATATGGATATAGGGCTATGGGGCTGTGGGGCTGTAGAACTATAGGGCTACAGGGCCATAGGGCTATAGGTCTATAGGGCTGTAGGGCCGTAGGGCTATAGGGCTGTAGAGCTATGGGGCTATAGGGCTATGGAGCTCTGGGGCTCTGGGGCTATGGCTATAAGGCCATAGGGCTATGAGTCTATAGGGCTATGGGGCTACAGGGCTACAGGACCATAGGGCTATAGGGCTATACGGATACAGGGCTATGGGGCTACAGGGCTATAGGGCTGCAGGCAGACTATAGGGCTATAGGCTATAGGGCTATAGGGCTATAGGGCTATAGGGCTATAGGGCTATAGGGCCCCAGAGCTATAGGTCTATAAAACACCCGGGCACCTAGGAGGCACCCGGACTCCCGGGCACCCTGGCAACCGGGCGGCCCGCAGAAATCGGTGGCAAACCTCACCCAACCATCGGAATCCGCGAGGACCCCTATACAGAGGCAAGCTCCGATTGGGGAATAAGAAGGGGCACAAGGAAATCTGCGGAGATATCACGGCCCCCATGATATTCCTCCCCCCCTAGCCATCACCCCCTCTTTCAAGGGGCCCAAGGACACACAAATAAATGCACCCAAATCGAATGATTCCATATATTTTCCCATATGTTCTGGGTTCTTGTCTTCCCGCCCAATTCCCACATTTTCGCATATGTTCTGGGGGATCGACGATTCATTGTGTCTGTGTGCTTTTTCCCCTCCTGACTCTTCGCCGCCCCCGAGAAGTCCAGGGCGCTCGGCGCGCCGCGCCCGCTGCGGGCCAGGCTTCTCGGCAGCGACAGGGAGCCCCACGCGCGACGAGTGGCGTCCGGGGCACAGCGCGAGACGCGCCCCGTGCCTGCCACGCCCCCAGACCCCCTCGAGTAATGAAACAATCATGACGGGAGGTTTTTCGCCATGTTCGGCCTCTGGGGGCCCTCACCGGGCCTCGGGAGCGTCAAAACACGACTCAGGATGACAAACCGGTCCTGGGGAAGGGGTCGAGAACTCTGGGGTCGACGTAATGAAAAAATCATTACGCCGGGGGTCTGGGCCTGTTGCCCCGCCGGCGAGAAGCGCGGGCGGCCTTCGGTGGAGCTCCCTACGGGGCTACGAGACGTGTGAGAAGGGTGTGCCGAAATGGCGAGGCGGCGGCATGCGGGGCCCTGCCACTGGGGCCTTCGGTGGAGCTCCCTACGGGGCTACGAGAAGTGTGAGAAGGGTGTGCCGAAATGGCGAGGTGGCGGCACGCGGGGCCCTGCAACTGGGGCCTTCGGTGGAGGTCCCCATGGGACAACAGAGCGTGTGAGGGGTGTGCCGAAATGGCGAGGCGGCGGCATGCGGGGGGCCCTGCCACTGGGGCCTTCGGTGGAGCTCCTGACGGGGCTACCAAACGTGTGAAGGGTGGCGGCATGCGGGGCCCTGCCACTGGGGCCTTCGGTGGAGCTCCCTATGAGGCTACGAAGCGTATGAGGGGTGTGCCGAAATGGCGAGGTGGCGGCATGCGGGGCCCTGCCACTGGGGCCGTCGGTGGAGCTCCCTATGAGGCTACGGAGCGCGTGAGGAGTGTGCCGAAATGGCGAGGCGGCGGCATGCGGGGCCCTGCCACTGGGGCCGTCGGTGGAGCTCCCTATGGGACCACGGAGCGCGTGAGGGGTCTGCCGAAATGGGAGCATCCCTACTGGGGCCGTCGGTGGGACCACGGAGCGCGTGAGGGGTCTGCCGAAATGGCGAGGCGGCGGCATGCGGGGCCCTGCCACTGGGGCCGTCGGTGGAGCTCCCTATGGGGCCACGGAGCGCGTGAGGTGTGTGCCGAAATGGCGAGGCGGCGGCATGCGGGGCCCTGCCACTGGGGCCGTCGGTGGAGCTCCCTATGCGACCACGGAGCGCGTGAGGGGTCTGCCGAAATGGCGAGGCGGCGGCATGCGGGGCCCTGCCACTGGGGCCGTCGGTGGAGCTCCCTATGAGACCACGGGGCGCGTGAGGGGTGTGCCGAAATGGCGAGGCGGCGGCATGCGGGGCCCTGCCACTGGGGCCGTCGGTGGAGCTCCCTGTGGGACCACGGAGCGCGTGAGGGGTGTGCCGAAATGGCGAGGCGGCGGCATGCGGGGCCCTGCCACTGGGGCCGTCGGTGGAGCTCCCTATGGGACCACGGAGCGCGTGAGGGGTGTGCCGAAATGGCGAGGCGGCGGCATGCGGGGCCCTGCCACTGGGGCCGTCGGTGGAGCTCCCTATGGGACCACGGAGCGCGTGAGGGGTGTGCCGAAATGGCGAGGCGGCGGCATGCGGGGTCCTGCCACTGGGGCCGTCGGTGGAGCTCCCTATGGGACCACGGAGCGCGTGAGGGGTACGGCGAAACAGAGACATGCGAAGACTCCAAAGAGCAGAGGCGAGGGGTGGAGAGGAGAGGAGAGGAGAGGAGAGGAGAGGAGAGGAGAGGAGAGGAGAGGAGAGGAGAGGAGAGGAGAGGAGAGGAGAGGAGAGGAGAGGAGAGGAGAGGAGAGGAGAGGAGAGGAGAGGAGAGGAGAGGAGAGGAGAGGAGAGGAGAGAGGAGAGGAGAGCAGAGGAGAGGGTAGGAGAGGAGAGGAGAGGAGAGGAAAGGGGAGGAACGCTAGGCGCTGTCTCTTCAAAACGAAGGCCCAACATCACAGAATGGTTTGGACAAAAAGAGCACGCACAATCCAAAGGTTAAATTCGCCGATGCGGCGTGTGAGTTTCTGAGAGCGTGGGCTTGAGCTCGCTCAAGCTTCGCTCTGCCGTGGGGGGGGCCTCATCCGACCTTATTCAGTGCTCGGCACCTCCCCCTCGACGCCGCCCCTCCCCCTCGAACCCCCCCGCCGCAGGCACCCCCCCCTGGTGCTCGCACCTGTGCTCGGCACCCCCGTCCCTCGGCTCCGACACTTCCCCCTCCGTGCCACCCGCCACCAAGGTCGGCACCCGCCCACCGATGCTTGCACCTCTTCCTCCCGGTGCCGGCACCCCCCCCTGCGTGCCGGCACCCCCCCTCCGGTGCCGGCGTGCCGGCCTCCCGTCCTGCTCGCGCCCCGCACCCCCCCTCCTCCAGGCCCCCCCCCTCGATGCCCGCACATGTGCTCGGCACCCTCCCGCTGGTGCTGGCACCACCCCTGTCCCTCGCATCCGACACCTTCCCCCCCCGTGCCTGCACCCGCCCCCCGGTGTCGGCACCCGCCCCCCGATGCTCGCACCTCCTCCTCCCGGTGCCAGCACCCCTCCAGTGCCAGCACCCCCCTTCCAGCGCCGGCGTGCCAGCACCTCCCCCACGGTGCCGGCCTCCCGCCCTGCTGGTACCTCCCCAGTGCCAGCCCCCCCCCCGCGCCGACATTATTCCCCCCCCTCCGGCGCTGGCGCTCTCACTCCCAGGTGCCGGCCCCCCCTCCCCGGTGCCAGCACCTCCCCCTCCTCCTCCTCCTCCTCCTCCTCCTCCTCCTCCTCCTCCTCCTCCTCCTCCTCCCCTCTCTCCTCCTCCTCCTCCTCCTCCTCCTCTCCTCCTCCTCCTCCTCCTCCTCCTCCTCCTCCTCCTCCTCCTCCTCCTCCTCCTCCTCGATCTCCTCCTCCCGTCCTCGTCCTCGTCTCCTCCTCCTCCTCCTCCTCCCTCCTCTCCTCCTCCTCCTCCTCCTCCTCCTCCTCCTCCTCCTCCTCCTCTCCTCCTCCTCCTCCTCCTCCTCCTCCTCCTCCTCCTTCTCTCCCTCCTCCTCCTCCTCCTTTTCCTCCTCCTCTTCCTCTTATTATTAGTCGTCGTATTATTAGTGTTCGTAGAATGGGTATTAGAATTGTTAATATCAGTACTACTCTTATTGGTATGGCCATTCGTATTGTTGTGGTTGTTATTAATATGTGTCGAGTTCGTATTCGTATTATTAGTAGTAGTAGTAGTAGTAGTAGTAGTAGTAGTAGTAGTAGTAGTAGTAGTAGTAATAGTAGTAGTAGCAGTAGTAGTAGTAGTAGCAGTAGTAGGTGATCATTTTTTTATTCTGGGTTCCGTCATTTGGCGCATGGTGGGGAGGGGGGGGGGTCCGGCTCTCGGCCCGTAGTCAATGCCTCCGATTGAATCATGTGGGGAATCCTGTGGGAGATGCCGATGAGGGAATCCTATGGGGGACCCTCCATGGGGGAATCGCGAACAGGCTGCGCGTGGCTGCGCCAAGACTATGCGTGATTGTGCAGGGCTGTGCCAGAATTGATAGGGATCACTATTCATGATTCCACAAGGCCGTCGGGGGCATTACGGGGGGGGGCCCAGCCGGAGGCATGCTTTTTGGCGATCGGGTCCGGCGCCCCTGAGCCCTTTCGTTGTGGTTCCAGAAGAATAGGAGGAAAAAGTGCACACAGTTGCACACATCAGCGATTCGAGCTTCTACGGGGGGGGGGGGGGAGCGCCGGCCCCCGTAGTTCGTCCGATCGATTGAAGCAGGTGGCAAAATCAGCCCAGAACTTCTCTACGGAGGGGGGGGGGGGGCGGGGGGTTCCGCCGAAAGCAAAAAAAAATAATAAAAGAATGCTCACTAGTAGTAGTAGTAGTAGTAGTAGTATAGTAGTAGTAGTAGTAGTAGTAGTAGTAGTAGTAGTAGTAGTAGGAGTAGTAGTAGTAGTAGTATTAGTATTAGTAGTAGTAGTAGTAGTAGTAGTAGTAGTAGTAGTAGTAGTAGAAGTAGAAGTAGTAGTAGTAGTAGTAGTAGTAGTAGCAGCATTACTTTTAGTAGTCGCAGCATCATTATTATTATGATTAGTAGTATTAGCGTTATTATTATTAGTCTTCTCACTGTGTTTATTATTAGTATTAGTAGCATTAGTACTATTATTAGTAGTATTAATAGTACTAATACTAGTTTCACTATTATTACTATTATTCGTAGTAGTCGTATAAACCGTATGTTGTGTGTCTTATTGTTCGTCTCATGTTTCGTATGACTATTGTGCTCATGGTTATTCGCAGTTGTATTATTATCATTCGTATTCTTCGTCGTCTTCGTCTTCGTATTCTTATTATTATGAGTATGATTATTAGTATTCATATACTTCGTCTTATTTTTATTCGTCATCTTCTTTTTATCAGTACTGTTATTCGCATTCGTCTTCTTATTATTCCTCCTCCTCCTCCTCCTCCTGCTCCTGCCCCTGCTCCTGCTCCTGCTCCTGCTCCTGATCCTGCTCCCCGTCCTCCTCCTCCTCCTCCTCCTCCTCCTCCTCCTCCTCCTCCTCCTCCTCCTCCTCCTCCGCCTCCGCCTCCGCCTCCGCCTCCCTCCGCCTCCGTCTCCGCTCCCGCCTCCGCCTCCGCCTCCTCCGCCTCCTCCTCCTCCTCCTCCTCCTCCTCCTCCTCCTCCTCCTCCTCTTTCCAAGCCCGCATCATCATCACCACCACCATCACCATCACCCTCTCAATCGTTCGTCAGTCGTCGTAGAAATTATCCCGCTCGTCGACGGTTGGTAGTCCGTTGTCGTCGTCATCGTCCATTCCCACACGCATCAGGGGCGCCCCAGATCGGCGGCACTGGCCGGAGGCCACTACAATACACTCTCCTGGCAACATGGCTATGTAATTGAACCTTACAATCTAGAAGCATTGTCAGATGCCTCTGACAATCTTCTGGGAGAAGTCTGGGAGTCTTCTGGGTGGCTCCTGTGAGGCGTTTGCGAAACTTCTGGCAAGTTCCTGAGAGGCTTCCGAAAAAAAAAGCTTTTTAGCAGGGTCCAGAAGGCTTACGATAAGCTTCCGGGAGCCTTCTTATGTAATGTTTCTGGCAAGCTCCTGAGAGGCTTCCGACGAAGTGCGTGGGATAATGAGGGGAAGCGTCTGAAAGTCAAACTTTGCCGGGCAAGGAGGCTCATTATGTACAAGGGCAGGTTCGTGCCTTATTGAAGGTATGGGGAGAGACTGGCTGAGCGCGAGGCTGCAGAAGGACGCCCAGGCACCAATCACCGAGCATCTAAGCCGCACGCAAAGCCTTGGCTTCCTCTGCCATGATAGCTGCGTGAAGGAAGCAAAACACTCCGTTACCCTCGGCGACTGGGCACACATGACCACCACGAGCACCCATAGGAGTGCAGAGCGAAAAGGGCGTCAAACCGAGGCGAGCCTGCATCGCGGCGGTCCCGCCGGGAGAGACTGGAAGCGTGTCTATATCCTGAGGCGCACTGCAAGCATGGGCGCGGGGCACTGCCATGACAAAGAACGGTTGCCTCGAGCAGATGTCACGCTGAAGCCAACTGCAGGCTGGTGAGACTGATATGATGGCCAACAACGCTGGGAAATTAGCCTGGCGAAGGACCCAACCATATGCAGTTGTGAGTCCTGCAATTGTGGGTATCGTCGTCGATGGAGCTCCCTATGGACCACACAACGTTGTACTGGGTGGGGGAGACGCATGCGGAAGGTGCCATTTGGGCCTTCGGTGGAGCTCCCTATGGGCCACGGAACCTTGTACTGGGCGGGGGCGGACTTGCCACTGGGGCCGTGGGTGGAGCTCCCTGTGGGACAGCGAAACGCTGTACTGGATGGGAGGGACGCATGCGGACGGTTCCACTGGGGCCTTCGGTGGAGCTCCCTATGGACCACGAAACGTTGTACTGTGTGGGGGGAGCACATGTGGACTTTGCCACTGGAGCCGTCGGTGGAGCTCCCTATAGTGCCACGAAGCGCTGTGCTAGGTGGGGGGGGGGCGCATGCGGACGGGGAAACTGGCACCGCCGATGGAGCTCCCTACAGGACCACGAAATCCTGTCCTGAGTGTGGGGACGCATGCGGGCGGTAGCGCTGGGACCTTCGGTGGAGCTCCCTATGGGGCCGCACAACGCTGTACTGGGTGGGGGAGACGCAGGCGGACGGGGACCCTGGCGCCGCCGATGGAGCTCCCTATGGGGCCACGAAGCGCTGTTGTGGGTGGGGGGGGCGTGCGGGCGGTAGCGCTGGGACCTTCGGTGGAGCTCCCTATGTGGCCACGAAACGTTGTACTGAGTGGGGGGGGACGCATGCGGGCGGTAGCACTGGGGCAGCTCCCTATGGGGCCACGAAGCGCTAAACTGGGTGGGGGGGGGCGCATGCGGGCGGTAGCACTAGGGCCGTCGGTGGAGCTCCCAATGGTGCCACGAAGCGCTGTGCTGGGTGGGAGGGAGGACTGCGGGCGGCAGCACTGGGATCTTCGGTGGAGCTCCCTGTGGGGCCACAAAACGCTCCACGGGGTGGGGGGGGACGCATGCGGGCGGTAGCACTGGGGCCTTCGGTGGAGCTCCATGTGGGGCCACGAAGCGCTGTGCTGGGCGGGTGGGACGCAAGCGGGCGGGGACCCTGGCGCCGCCGATGGAGCTCCCTGCGGGGCCACGCTGCGCCAGGTGGGGGAAGACGCATCCAGGCCATAACGCTGGGGCCGCCGGCGGAGCTCCCTGTGGGGCCACGGAGCGCTGTGCTGGGTGGGGAGGGGGGGGAGGGCCTGCGGGCCCTCGGCGGAGCTCCCTGTGGGCCTTCGGTGGAGCTCCCCATGGGGCCACGGAACGTGTGAAGGGTGTGCCACGGCGAGGGGGGGCGACGGGCAGGGGCGCGAGGCGCGGGGCGCTGTCACTTCAAGACGAGAATGCTTCCGCTCTGGGAGGTATAGCGTCCCCTGCAAAACAGATTGCCCTGCCGTTGTGAGAGCTGCCTTCGGTGGAGTTCCCGATGGGCACGAAGCGCGTGAAGGGTGCGCCGCAATGGAGCGGGGCCGCCATGCGGGGGCTGCCGCTGGGGCCTTCGGTGGAGCTCCCTATAGGGCCACGAAGCGTGTGAGGGGTCTGCCAAAGTGGAGGGGAGCGGCATGCGGGGCCCTGCCACTGGGGCCTTCGGTGGAGCTCCCTATGTGGCCACGAAGCGTGTGAGGGATGTGCCAAAGTGAACGGGGGGCAGCATGCGAACCATGCTACTGGAGCCTTCGGTGGAGCTCCCTGCAGGGCCATCAAGCGTGTGAGGGGTGTGCCAAAATGAGGGGGGGACGGGAGGAGGGAGAAGCGGGAGGAGGAGGAGAGGAGAGGAGGAGGAGACGCGGGGACTCTCTTCAAAACGAGGACACGAAACCACATAATGGTTGGGAATAAATGTACCACTGCACCAGAAGGAGGAAGGACCAGCTCACACGATATGTGACTTATGCAGTAAGCTCGATATTGGGTGCTGGGCATTACCCGAAAGTAACTGGGGATCCGACGCCATGAATGTGGGGCAACCGTACCAGATCTGCAACACACAACTTGCCGCACCTTACCTGGCACTCTCGTCTGCTGTGGCGCCTTCGACCTCACAATGCGTCTGAGGCAAGCTGTGTTCGGCATCTCCTTGCTTGGTAAGCCTCCAACATTGCGAGACCTTGTCCGCAAGCTTACTATGGCCAAGCTGCCGGCACGCTGATATCAGAGCGACGTACGTGCAAACGCAGAGTGTCATGTTTGCCTTGACCGCGTCTTCAAACAGTTCTACAGCGTATGTAATGCGCTGGAGCTCGATGCAAGAACGGATCGCGTGGTGATAGGCAAATCGATCGGGTCTGAAGCACCTGCGCCGCATCGTCTCGAAGAGTTCAAGAGCCTCTTCGTGCTCGCTGTTGGACGAATAGACTTTGACCATGGTACCATAAGACTTCGCATTGGGCTCCAGCGCACGGTCCGCCATGTGCATGAACCAGTGATGGGCCTCTTCGTACTTCCCAAGCTGGCAGCAAGCAACCAACACTGCATTGTACGCCGCCCGATCAGCCTTATACCCTAACAACTCCATCTCACCAAAAATTGTTAACGCGAATGATGGATCGGACCACTCGTAGGCCACTACGATGTAACGGTATGCCCAAATGCTGAGATGTTTACCATCGCTCCGCATCTTCACAAAACGATGCAACATGCTCTCTGGAAGCAGATTGCCCCACGCAAGTAAAAAACGGTTCTGCGTGGCAGTGGCCGCTGAAAGCCCGTGACTTTCCATTAAGTCAAGAAGCCGCAGCCCATCTTCCCGAATGCGTTTGTCATCGAGGGTGCGGACGACGAGATTGAAGAATGAGTTGGACACGGACTTGGGAATGGTGTGCGCGTTTGGAACGGCATCCTTATCCAACATCCGATCGAATAATCCCACCAGCCCTTTAGGGCGTAGGTGGTTTAGAGTATTTCCTCTTCCACACCCTTCTTCCCCTTCGGGGAGGGGTTTACCCCTCCCCCTACCCCCCCCTGGACCTGGACGGGGCGTTTCGCGAGCGGCCGGGCCGTCCAAAACGGCCTCGGCGAGAAAGCCAAAATCATTGGTGTTACTAAGATTTTGGCCCCAAATGGGGGCTCCCGAGGGGGGGGCTAATTGAAGCTTCCCCCTTCTTCCGTCGATCTCCTCCAAGTTGGCCCCAAGAGCGCCTCTAAGGCTCCCAAGAACGCCCCGAGAGGACCCCAAGAGGCGCCCAGGAGGCCCCAAGAGGCGCCCAAGCGGCCTCCAAGAAGCCCCCAAGAGGCCCCCAAAGGCTTCAAGAAGATCCCCCGAGGCACCCAAGATGCCCCCCGGACGCTCCAAGAGGGCCCCCCGAGGCACTCAAGACGCCCAAGAGCCCCCCAGGACCGCCAAGAGGCCCCCAAGACGTCCCAAGAGGCCACCAAGAAGCGCCCAAGCGCTATCCCAAGAGGCTCCGAGAGGCATCCAAGAGACCTCTGGCCCTTTTGCTCGCCCGCCTCCTCCTGCTCATCATCATCATCCTCTTCCTCCTCCTCCTCCTCCTCCTCCTCCTCATCACCACCACCACCACCACCACCACCATCATCATCATCATCATCATCATCATCAGCAGCAGCAGCAGCATCAGCATCAGCATCATCATAATCATCATCCTCATCATCATCATCATCAGCAGCATCAGCATCGTCATCATCATCATCATCATCATCATCATCATCATCATCATCATCATCATCATCATCATCATCATCGTCGTCGTCGTCGTCGTCATCAGCAGCAGCAGCAGCATCAGCATCAGCATCAGCATCAGCATCAGTATCAGCATCACCATCATCATCATCATCATCATCATCATCATCATCAGCATCATCATCATCATCATCATCATCATCATCGTCATCGTCATCAGCATCATCAGCATCATCAGCAGCATCATCATAAGCATCATCAGCATCAACATATCATCATGTTAATCTTCATATTCATCATCATCATAATCTTCAGCATCAGCAGTTTCATCATTCTTCTCCCCACTCCCTCATCCATCCATCCAAGCTCCTTGTTCTCATCCCTCCTTCGCACGGTTCGGCCGTTCACCTCTTTGCTCCCGCACTTCCCTGATCACCTCAACTCGCCTGGGCATCGTTTCTGGATGGGCTGGTGGGGATACGCGCAGCGTCTAGAATTTCACGGCTGTGCCCCCGTCTTCGAGTCTGTTGCAAGCACACATCACTTGTCTGACGCTTGAGGCGTCGTAAAGCACACGCTCTGTCTGCACGTGGTCCGCGGGACCCATGTCCGTTCGATGGCTTAGGTTTCCCAACTGGTGCTCGGAATCATTCGACCTGGCATGGCAAGAACCTACTTTCTCGGGCGACGGCCGTTCCTTGGTGGTGACTGCAGGTTCGGACTGGAGCCTACCATCGTAAGGAAAATGGGCTGACACCGAACTCGTGGTGAACAATTCTTCCACTTTGGTCTTCCACCCCGTGGTCTTCGCAGCGTGCCGACCGAGTATGATAGACAGAAGAGCGACTTCAGCCCAGACTTCAGCCCAATGAAGCCAGTACGTATGACTGTTTGTGTCATAATCAATGGTGACCAGAGCAATGAGATCTCGAAGGGCAACGCCGACTCGGATCCAGAAGGCTGCCCTAAACATGCAACGCATTGTGGGTGATAAGGCTCAGTGATACCTCATAGGCAAAAACCAATGCCCGCTACTTAAACGGAGACGCAGGTCTGAAACAAGGTTGAGCCAAAGCGCATGCAAGGTTTCTTGGAAGCTTGCGTGGAGCTCCTTTGGGGCTTGGGGAAACTGTGTTGGGAGGCATGGGCGGCTTACCAGAAGCTTCAAGAAACCCTACAAAACGTTTGCGGAAGTCGTCTGGAAGGCATCTGGGAGACTTCTGAGAGCCTTCTGAGATGCTTCCAAAACGCTCGCTTGAGGTTGATGTGAAGTTCTGGGAGGCTTATGATAATGAAAACGACAACATGTACCACAATACCCCGGCGCAGTTGGGACACCGAAGGGTCCTCAATTCTGCCCCAAGGAATTGGATCGAACATGCCGGTTTATACCACGCATCACGCCACCCAGCTTGCACCGCGCAGCTTGCACCACCGACTCCAACACATGCATTACGCCACATTGTCGACCCCACACAAACAGTCTGCACCACGCGTTCTCAACCACTTACGTTGCACCGTGTAGTTATCGCAACTTCGCTTACACAGCTTCGCGGGCGTCACGGAAGGGGATGGTTTGCCAGTGGTCGGTTAGGCCGCCCCTGACGTTTCCCTGCGCCGGGACTGTCAAAAAGCAGCCTGAGGATGAAAAACCGGCCTTGGGGAGAGGGCCGAGATGCCCTGGGCCCCACGTCACGAGAAGATCGTGACTTCGCAGGAGGGGGCAAGACGAAAGCATCGGGTGTCCTGACGAGGGCATGTGGTCGGGAGGAGAGCTGTTGGCACGTCAGGGTCCAAGGGGGGGTCTCCAGTGAGCGTGGTGAGAGAAGAGGGGACGATCACATCTGGGAGATCTCATGGCCCTGCCCATGATATCCCAACAGAACGCCTCGCCCCCCTCTTCGACGCACGCCCCCGAAGGCAGGATGATGATAAATCCTGAGAAATCAAAATGGAAAGGTAAGTCTAAAAATCCGCATAAATCCTGGGAACCCGGAGGAGAGATCCTGAGAAATCCGGACAAATCCGGAGGATATAAGTCGGGACTGCCTGAGGTATGGCTGGCCTGCGAGCACGTGCCGGGCGCCGCGGCCGCCTCGGAGCGCCCCTCAACACTCTGAGAGCGATCTGGTGCGCCCTGGAACGATTCATCCTCATCTCAGGTATAGGTCGGGCAAGTCCCCCGACAGGCGGATTCTGGACGAAAAATCACAAGCAGCCAAACAGTATCCGAAAACGGCCAAAAAAAACTGTAGAAAAGTCGTCCTCTGACTGTGTTTTGACTATTCGGGTATAGTCCTCTGGTAGAGGGGCAGGCCAGACTTCATCCTAGGCGTGCCTGATAAGAGGCCAACCCTGCGAATGAGGAAGGTGAACGCCGCCAAACTGGGGCCGGCGAAGAAAGGGTCGACGGATCGCACCGCACTGCCCGTGCATCGCCGGAGAGAAGATCGAGCCCCAGATTGCGCCGCATCGCCCGAGGGCGGAGGAGGAGTGGCCAGAGGGAGGAGGCGGAGGAGGAGGAGGAGGAGGAGGAGGAGGAGGAGGAGGAGGAGGAGGAGGGGGCGTCTGGAGTTCGGACATATCGACTAGGTCGGAGGACAAAAAGTTTGGATCTCACCTTCCGCGCCAGTTCAGCTTGCGGCGGAGATGTGCTGTGCTGCTCGGAGCTGCCCAGAGTGCGAAGCAGCTGAAGCTAGAGTAACTCTGCGGCGCCAGCGTGCTACTTGGCCAAGAAGAAATATCAGCGGACCTCTAGATGACATGTGTCCAACTGAGAAGCCGGTGCTCGAGATTTGACGATGCATCCGGCAAAAAAAGACCAAACCGAACCGAGAACCCATAACCGTGACCAGACCAAACCGAACGGGACCAAAACAAGGAAAATAGAACTCCGAACCGGGCCGAACCAAATTCATTCAGAACCGAACCAGGGGGAACCGAACCGGAGCCAAACCCAAGCCGAACCGGCCCAAACCGATGCGGTGTCAACCCGAACCGGCCAAGCAGAACCGACCCGGCCGCAGCACGGACCGAACCGAACCGAGCCGATGCCTTCATGATCTGGGCCGCCCGGCTGAAGGGGCCCTGGGACACACACAAATAGATACACACAAAGAACGGGACTCCCCATATTTTCCCATACTTTCTGGGTGTCCGTCTTCCCCCCCACTTCCCCGATGTTCCCCTACTTTCCGGGGCGTCGACGACGAACTGTGTCCGTGTGTTTCTTCCCCTCCCGAGACGTCCTGCACCGCTCGAGCTCCTCCGTCAGCCGCCGCGCTTCCAGGCTATAGGCCGCGTCCGCGCCCACGGCGGACCTGGAGCCCGACGAGGTGCCCGACCAGGTGGACCTCCCCGAGGGGCGGGAGCCACGGGTTCGAGGCTCGAGCATCGAGGGTCGGGGGCCGAGGTGCGAGGCTCGAGGGCCGAGCTTCGAGGATCCGGGCATCAAGATTGGAGGGTCGAGGTCCGAGGATCGAGGTTCGAGGACGGAGGATCGAGGAGCGGGGTTTCGATCGAGCTCCGAGATTCGAGGACCGCGGACCGAGCTTCGAGGAGCGAGGTTCGAGGAGCGAGGTAACCGACCAGGTAGACCTCCCCGAGAGGCATAGAGCCACAAGTTCGAGGTTCGAGGATCAGGGGTCGAGGATCGAGGATCGAGGTTCGAGGATCGGGGGTCGAGGCTCGAGGATCGAGGTTCGAGGATCGAGGTTCGAGGAGGTCGAGGATCGAGGATCAAGGGTCGAGGTTCGAGATTCCAAGCTCGAGGGTCGAGGATCGCGGATCCAGGTTCAAGGAGCGATGTATTGAGGTTCCAGGATTGAGGCTCGTGGGTCGAGATTCTGAGGATTTTGATTGTCCTGGGGCGCCCTCGTGGCCACGGCTGGATCCGCCTCGAAATTCTGGTCGGAGCGCACCCTAGGGGGAGATTGGAAGTATACACCACCACCGCCACTGCATAGGTGCTCGGACAGTTTCGGATGATTCTGGCTCTT